ATGAGCTTAACGATCTTGTTGTTGTTATAATGGCAGAAAACAATCCTGAAGTATTTTGAGGATTGTTGCCGGATTGACAATCCTTGACGGGATAAAAATCCAGCTCCGTTCCGGTTATGTAGACCCGACTGTCCGGTAAACGGTCTGAGCTGAACGATCGTTATCGCTGATTGATGTAACGGTACCCATTGAATTTAAAAAAAACTGTGCTAATACTTTGCAGCAAAATCCGTCTATCGAGCTCTTTGCTATACGGTCGGTATTCAACTGATACTGTGTATCTAAAGTGGTCTTTCGACTGTTTCAAGACCGTAATTGAAGGAATTTGGGTTCGACTCTAAGAATAGTGAGTCAGGTAAGGTAGCATATGATCGACGCTGTTTAGAGAATATTGAAAGTAAACTTCGAAGATTTCTCAAGTCTTGAACTTCACACATATTTAGCATTAATGATGCTCCTGATCATCAGCACAGAAAAATTCACTATACTTTTTTTTACTGTTAAAGTCCAATTCCGTTTAAGAGCAAAGATCTCAATACCTAGGATTATCATAAAATAACACTGACGAGCGCCATCTGTTGAATATTTTTCCTTGAGCTTAAAGCTCAAAGCTCTTATGGTATAGTTATAAATAATCAGCATACCAACCTGGTCTTTAGCCTTTGCAGCAATAAAAATGTACCTGTGAAGGGTATTATGTCGTCGGTGCAAAGGTAGTTAATCTTTTTACTTGTTTTTATAAACTATAGCGCGACTTTTTTCTTGGCGCCGAAATGTAGGCAACAAATACTAAATCTGCTCAATATAAATTTTTCTCATTTCATCTCATACTCACCTAGAATCACTGTATCTCAGCCGCTAGATGCCACTTATTTCAAGCTCTGAATGCAATCACGCTGCCTTGTAACGGTTCATATGTATGTTTCTTATGCGTCTTCTGTTTGTGTGTGCGTGTTGATAGCTTGGCATCGCACCAAATACACAATAACAGCAAATTATTTAATATTCATAACATAATTTTGTGTGTTTGGCATTAATATTTGTTTTGCTATGCATTGTTGTTGCATGGCTTTGTGTTGTTGTAAATGCCGCCGCTGCTGCACATTCTTCTAACATTGCCGTTATTATTATTGAATATATGTATGAAAGTGTGGCATGTGTGTGTGTGCTTGTTTTATCAGCTGCAAATTGTAAACTTGTAAGCATATTTTGCATTTGTATTTGTGCACATTTTTATATGTGTGTCTGTTTGTGTTTATTATGCAATGCAATAATTCTGTGTCAGCATGTTGTCTCCTCCGCAGCGAGTAATTTTTAATAAAGTGCGCCTTCGGTTGCCACAGTTACACGCAAATATCCTGCCCCATCGCCCCTCAGCCACATTCTGCCTACAAACGCACTTGCATACAAACATAAATTTCCTGTTATCTCTTAAAAGTGTCCTTTGTCCTCTTGTGCTCTTCTACTTTTCTTATTTGCATTTGTGCTTTTGTTTACAAAAACAACAACAACAACGACAAAACAAGCTGTTTGTGCTGTGAATTGCTCTTGAGTTAGCTCGCTCGGCCGACTCGCCTCCGCCCCGCCGTTGTTTTGTGTGTGTTTCTTTATATATTTTAATCAAAAGCTCACAAGTTCACTTACAACAAAATTCTAAAAATTAAAATGTGGAAAATATGCATTTATCTGCTGGTTTTCATAGATTCGTTTTAGCATTTTAAATGAAGTGTGGCAAAAGCTGTCAACACTTCAATTTATATTCATTTGTGAAATGTGTGCGCAAGTGCAGCTTCAAGTTCTCTCGAGTCCTTGTTAAACTCGACATTTTTTCAAGCACTTAAATTACTTAATAATAAAGAATATGTGTTGTAAACACAGGTGCCACATATTTGAAATGAATTTTGTATGCAGAAACTTATTAATTTTAATAAATAAAAGTGAACATGTCAGAAGGTATATATGAAGCTAGATGATAATGGTAGCACAAAAAGATTTAGACTAAATCGTTTCACTTTTAGAATCGTTCTTTCGTGTAGTCTTCTAAAATCTGATTCAAAACACCCTAAAATCGAATAGTACTTGGCTCTGCTAAGTGTGTTACTCACTCTGTTAAGCGTCAACTAAGATTTCAAGTAAACTGTCTAAATTTGCTCACCATTTCTTCTTAATTCTTCTAAAATAAACTGCTGCCTCTCCGTTTCACTCTAGATTCGGATTTAATCAATATAACCGATATTTTGTGATATTTTTTGAGTAAGTTTTGTATGTGGCCGTGAATCAACATCATTTTTGGGACTCGACGTTTCGGTGTCAACAGCTTCCTAACAAAATATTCAACTCGAACTCCGTTGCTCCCTTTTTCGACATCGTACCCGCTCTAAAATTGCTTCTAATACTCTAAAATATGCTAAAGCTTTATTTAAGAATAGAAAAAAATTATGAAATTTAGTCAAATCTATAAGATAATACATCTAAGAAATATGAATGGTACTCACTCTGATCTAAACCCCTCCAATTGATAATATACTTACAAGTACTTCGAACATTTTTAGCTCATCTGTAAAGCTAACGTTGCCTGAATCTCAGCTATATATTTGTCTTGTGCGTTAGCCACCCGCAGTCCTCGAACAGTACATAAGTAAAGTGTCAATCTACTTTGGCCGTCTTTTTTTTTTTTTGAGGTTTGGTCTTACTTTTCTGAGATTTTGGTGACTATTGTAACCTAAATTATGTTACGATATTATAATTTTAACGCTGTGTAGATCAGTCGATAATTTTATGTGTAGAGAACGACTCGGCGAAGTTTTCTGCGCTCAAAAATCACTATCTCTTTAGAGATTTTTATAATCATTGCTTCCTTGTTTCTTCACTTCTTCTTGTTCATAAGAAAACTAAATATTTGAATGCGAATTTTTCGACAAATCAGTGTGATATGCCTGTTTTAATACAATATTATTTTTAACTACTCATTTTCTAGGTTTCAAAATTTATTTATGCTCAACATAAATGTCCAATTTAATAGTACATTAACATTTAAAACATAAATATATCGCAAACACTTAAGAAGTTGCCATAAAACTGGCCTGCTTGTAAGAACTCACTCAAGACCAAGGCGCAGTGATAACTTCATTGAAGTGGAGAAACTACAAATACACATTTATGACGACTTAAAAAGTACGACTCGAGGCGGTCTTGTGTTCATTACCATATTTTATCTTTTAATATGAAAATAAATACCAAGCAGATAATGGAGGAGAAGAAGAAGAAGAAGTCAAAGGATATATGAGGAATTTATACTTTGTACAAGTGCACTTATATATAATATATGTGCGTGAATATGTATGTACCATATATATTATATATGGTGTGTATTTATCATATTTGTTGTGCATTCTTGTATATATAATATTCATATGTACCATATAGGTATGTATACTTAGTTGTGTGTATTTTTATTTCTTTGCTAAATCGCTGATTGACTCCTGCTGATATCTGCTGTCGAAATTTGATCCCGAAAACATTGATTTCAAGACCAACGGTATTTTACGAACAAAGAAACGACATATGCATATATACAGACATACTCACTTGCATATATAAATGCGTTTTGAATTTCTTCATTCGAATAAAAGTCGACATTTATGCATGTGCGCTTACATATCAGTCAGGGTTGCATGTAATTGCTGACAGTTATGTGCAACCTGCAAGATACCTATACTTGCAATATTTATGTAGCACATACATACAAATATACATACATGTATCAGGTTCAATTGCCTGCAGCGTACAGTGCGTTTGATAAATATACATAAAAATGTGTATAAATTAGGGTGAACCAAAAAAAAAATGATATAGAATTTATTGGTTAAAATTAACTACATACAGATAAAAGAATATCCCTGCAAGCAGAATTTTAGCATTAAAGTTTCCCATACAATAACAAGCAAAAATATCTCTTTTTATTAAAATATCGCGATGCTTTTAGAGCATAACATTTTCTAAAAATTTGATTTCACGGCCATTTTTTTTAAATTCAGGGTAAATTTTATCTTTTTATTGTATATGACGTCCGTTTTACCCACAAATTCGATATTGTAGAGCTTACGGTTTTTTAAAAAATCTTGTTTTCAATTCAGGTGGAAATTTTCCCTCCATATGACTTCTTTTTTATCTAAAAATTCGATATTTTTGAGCATATATTTTTTTAAAAAGTCTATCTCAGGAGAATTTTTTCCATTGGAGGGATATTTTTTCTCTTCATATGGTTTCCTTTTTATCCATAAATTCAATATTGTAGAGCATAAAATTAAAAAAAAAAAAATCTATCTCAGGGGAAGTTATTGCTTTTTTAATTCAGATGAACTTGTTTTCTTGCAGGGATATTTTTTCTCCGCATATGAGGGTCTTTTCATCCACAAATTCAATATTGTAGAGCATAAAATTAAAAAAAAAAAATCTATCTCAGGGGAATTTTTTTCATTGCAGGGATATTTTTTTTCTGCATTTGTTTTCCTTTTTATCCTTAAATTCAATATTGTAGAGCATAAAATTTAAAGAAAAATTCTACCTCAGGGGAATTTTTTCCCTTGCAAGGAGTTTTTTGTTATGTGTATAGGTATGTGTTATCCATAAATTCGGTATTGTAGAGCATAATGTCTACCTCAGGAGAGTAGTTTTTAATTTTTTCTGCATATGGGTTTATTCATTAAAACTAAATTCGGTATTATAGAGCATAAAATTTATCAAAAATTCTTTGCCAAGGGAATTTTTTTAATTCAAGGGCATTTTTTCTGTTGCAGGGAACTTTTTTCCCCATATATGGGTTCCTTTTTATCTATAAATTCGATATACTTTTTTTTTGGTACACCCTAATATATGTATATGCACATATCTGTCCAAGTGCATTTCTAATCAGTTTATTTTAATTTATTTAATTCTGCTCCGAGACTTTATTGGCTTTAGAAAATGTTCTTATTTTTATAGTTCTATAAATATTTATATACATTGGTATGTACATATGTATTTACTCATATTTTATGCATGATAAAGAAAAATATGATTCTAGAATATCTTTATTGTTGCTTTGGCAGGCAATGAGCCCACACACAGCCAAATAAGTCCACACCCTTGGCGCTGCAAATTCCTTTATTTATTTACAACGCTATCGAAATGTAATATTTCTATGCATAAATATATATTTTAACAGTTATGTGAATGGAATTTTCTCGGCTCTTCTTTTTTGCTGATCAAAAGTCGTTTTTTGTTGCTTCTACCTCTTAGAGTTTTTTCTATGCTCATCGGCTTTATGTTTTGCCGGCCAAACTAATTTCTTTAATGGACGTCATATTTCTTTGTGCTTTAGATAAATCCAAGCGAAATTACATATAAACATCTGCATCTGTAAACACGCATTTATTTACTTGTATTAATAAAATTTTGTTTGGCTTTTAGAATTCGATTCTTTTTTGTGTGTGTTTCTGCAGTTTTTCAGATTTCAATTGCAGTTTTAGTTTTCTTATGCTTGCAACAGCGAGCATTTCTTTGTCTGGCCTGTCATAACTGCTGTTGCCACCAACACATATGGCATAAATTATTGGATTTGTTATATATAAGCAATCAGGCCTTGTAGGAAATTCATTTGCACGATGATAGTTGACAAAGAAATAGAGCCTCCTTTGCTGCAAAAAGAAAAACAATTATTTTAGTGGTATATCGCTATATTTTTCAAAAAAAAAAGTCCAATCTTTGGTATAAAAAATTTTGGTTTCCAAAAACTATATTAAATTTTTTTTTTTATAAAAATCTCATCAAGCTATTATGTGATCTAAATCTATATTGTGTTGTATTTGAGACCCAAACCCTTTACATCGAATTGAAAACATTGCACTCGAACCGCACGAGTACGAAAATAGCGAAACTAACCTATTCCTGCCTACGATCTTGTGACTATCAATAGATTTTCGTGAGTAGAAAATACTTTCCGTTGACCTCTGAATAATTGATGAGCTATGGCTTTATAAGTTTTGGTGGAATTTTTGAAGGGTAACATTAATACTTGTATTAGGTTAGAAATAGAGAATAAGTATACAAAATGCTAGTCATGATTTTTCGATATATTTCGAAGAGTAGAAGTGGAAAGCTCTTAGTTTAAGAATCATCAGTAGCACTGTAGATATTTCCTTCAAATCATTGTTTTTAAAACCAACCTTAATATTGACTTCAACGTCATTTTAAACAGCTACAATGGATATTAATTCGAATGTCACTCTAAATGTCGATACATATCGACTAATTATTCCCAATCCCTAATATTTTGGACAAACCCTCGAGTTTCCATATCAAGCTTACTCTGACTCATATTGCTAAGTCAAAATTGTTTTTTCTTGAAGGTTTTCCAAAGAGTTGCACACCAAAAAATACAAAGTTATTTTAGGTATGGAGCTTCGCTTAATGATTTACAACAAGGTGCTCAGACTTCTTAGCAATAAATTGAATTGAATGACTTTCCAACAGGTTAAACTAAAAATCCATATATGCTTTTTCTATTTTCCCTTAAAAATACTTGCATTCGTATGAATATGCCTTCAAATTGGCGCTTGTTGTAGGTCTCGCCTGCCGACTGCCGCATATCCTGCATTCGCCAGTTTGCGGCAGGACATGTCTGCCATTATCGCTGCCAAAAATAAACTTAATTCAAACTTTTAATATTTTCAAAATTTGTTGATTTCTTTGGCGCATATTTCGTTGGCGGTTTTGGTGTCGGTTGCCAAATTTAGAGACACTAGATTTATTTTTAATGTTTGATTGCGATTACTATTAAGTTATTGTTTATGTTGTAGTTTTTGTATTTAGTGTGTAGGATTAGAAATATGATTTGGTTACAGTAAAGTGTATAACAATGAAAGATGGAGTTGAATGACCGTTTCGTTTTAGATATGATATAGATAGCCGGATTGTGAATCTCAACTAGCAAACCCAAAGTAATTTTTTATATACTCAGAGTTTATTTTTATTTTTTGGATCTTAAAGAAATTTTCATAAAAGAAAATAGTAGTAGTTTTTATAGTAGTAGTCTATATTTCGATAATAATTTTTTAAGAATATTCCAAGCGAAACAGCTCTCTCGACGTTTTTTGAATTTACTCGTTGATCATATTTTATACTTATGTATATGAAAGGTATATAATGTGAAGGATTTACTAAAATTATTGTCAATCAAAAATAGTCACATGTTTTTAAGTCTCCTATATGTATAGGTTCAAATCCAACAACTGATTCTTTATCGACGTCAACAAAGTATTTTATAAAAACGAAAACGTTGTCTACCATTAGGCGCACTTGCTAATTTTTGTTTTAGTTTAGTTTTTTTTCTCTGTAATACTAAAAAGTAAATATTTGCTAAAACAACTTTGAAAAATTTATCAGATTACCCTAAAGTGCCTTTAAATTATATTTCATCAATGTATTAAATACAATCGTTATCTTTTATGATTCGAGATTAGAGAACAAAAACAAATATTAATCATCGTAAATCACTTTAATGTTTTCCAAAATATTCTCCATTAAGATCTATACACTTTTGCATGCGCTTGAATCAATTTTTGAAGCACTTTTGCCACTCTCATTGAGGCATTTCCAAAACATGCCGTCTCTTCAGGATTATACGATGGATGACTCATCATATCTCATGTATCACTCAGAATTTACTATTCTGCGTTGCTATAGTGATATGGTTGCAACATGTCCAGATTTTCAAAAAAAACACTCAATAACTTGGAAGTTCTTCATGCGCTAACAACTTTTGCTGGATTCGACTCATCTTGAAACCCCCATACAGTCAACTGCTGTTTACTTTCGGGCTCATACGCCTAAATTCAAAATTTGTCAGCTGTCAAGATGTCATAGACGTGTTTCGAAGGATCGGAATTTTTTAACAATTTTCTCGACCAATCCAATAAAGAATTTTTTTTGAGTGTTTGACAAAATGTGTGGGATTCAACGAGAACAAATTTTCACAGTCAAAGGTTCATGCAATATTGCATGTTTACTGGTCCCACTAATGCCAATAGTTGGCTCAATCTCGCGATAAGTCACATGATGCACTTGTAATATCAGTTTGTGCACAGCATCAAAGTTCTGAGTTGCTAAGTTGCAAAACTTGGGTGACCTAAATATTATAAAACCATTTAACAACAAATGATACCACAGGTTCAAATATTCCTTAGAAGAACTTAATTTTGATCAATTACTTTGTGTGGCATCATTATGCTATAGTAGCCCGATTTGAATAAATGCTTCGAAAATTGTACCACTGCCTTGTATAATAATCCATCCCAAATTTCGTGAAGATATCTCGCCAATTCAAAAACTTTTCTTTACAAGACCTTGATTTTAATTGTTCAGTTTGTATGGCAGCTATATGTTACAGTGGTCCGATATCGGCGGTTCCGAAAAATGAGCAATTTCTTCAAGAGAAAAGATCGTATGCAAAATTTCAGATCGATAACTCAAAAATTGAGAGACTGAAACGGATATGGATAAATCGACTCAGCTCGTCACGCTGATCATTTAGGTATATATTTTATATGGTCTTCGTTGTTTCTTCTGAGTCTTACAAACTCACTTAATATACTCTGTTAAGGGTATACAAATATATTGTGGCAAGTTCTAAAAATTGTAATATTTCACCTTTTATTTTTATTTGCATTTTCCAGTGGCTGACAAACCTGAAGAAGCTATTGCAACAATATATATATATATGTAAATAACAAAAACAATTTACTGTGAACACTCAACAATTTTTACGACCTTTTGATTATGTTTATTTATTTGCAAGCCATTTTACACTTCAACTTAATAAAACAAAACAAAAGCGCTATAACTTTAAAGTGCTATTACTTAGCAGCACGAGTATATATATGTGTGAGTGTGTGTGTATCTCTATATATGTATGTATATGGGTGTGTGGCCATGCTTGGTGGGCTCAGCAACACCAACGCCATTCATTGGCAGTGCCACCGACGCATTGGCGCTGTTTATGCAACAGCAAACCACAACAACAACAACGTCAAACACTACAACAACAAGGACTGCAACAACAATTGCAACGTAACGTTTGCATTTCGCACATGAAAGTGAAATGTAAACAGACGGAAAATGCACTCAAAGCAAACAAAAAATTATCTTAACAAAGTACAAGTGGCACTACAACAACAGCAATAGCAACAACAAAACATATACATACACACACGAAACAATATGAATGGAGAAGACAAGAAATGCCAAGTGGTAAAAATTATTATGGAAGAGAGAATTTTTAAGTAGGCACTCAAGGTAGAGAAGCCAGGGAGGTGGCCGGCGAAGGGGCGATGCAACGAAGACTCCAGCTGCAGCTGAAGGTGAAGATGCAAATGTACAGATGAAAGCAAGATTTGCAGCCGAGTAGTGGTTGTTGTTTGACTGTGCAACATTGCTACAGACGTGAAGCAGACGCTGACGAATGACAACAACTACAGCAACATCATGGCATTTGCAGATAAAGTTGAAGCAATTGAAGCTGCAGATAATGCAACTGATGAGGATGATGATGTGCTGGCTGTCAAGTCAAAGTCAAGAGCGGAAGAGATGCCTGCTGCATGCTGCCGGCTTGCAACAACGGTAGCGCAATCAGCAATCAGAGTGCAATATCAATCTGCAACAACAACAATGACAACGACAGCAGGCTCTCCAATATAAATGACAACATCATCACAGCTGTCGGCAACGTCTTATATTGGCATCATCCGCCGCCACAAGCGAACGTCGGCCGACTTGATGGGCGAGTTGTGGCAAGTGGCAGCCGCTATATGCCTACGAGTAGCGGCAACAAACAGCCGCCTACCTACAAACGACGAGTAGCCATTTAGTCAATACAACCGACAATCATCGTCAACATCTCGTGCTGTCAACGGTGGCGTCCGCAACAGGCAGCGGACCGGTTGTCTGCCATGTGGATCGGCTCCATAGTACATAGTAGCAACAACGGCAGTAAACACCTCAAGACAGCAGCAGTCAACACAGGGTACAGAGCTAAGACGCGCTGTGCGGTGCGGTGGCTAACGTCATTTTCGAGTGCTCAGCATTTAAGTAATATGGCCAATAAATGTCGCTCACTCGCTCATTTGTGCTTGCAACATGCATACCATAGATGATTGTTGCCGACTGTTAACTGCATAAATGTCAATGTTGTTGTTGCTGTTACTGTATTTTGTATTTTGCATTTGTTCAACTTCACCGGTTTGTTGTGCGCCTGCTGACGTCCGCTGTCGATGTGTTTATGTCTTCACAAATTGAGGGCGAGCAGCAATAGTAGGCCACTCAGCCCACTTTTTCTTCCATTGAAGTGCGAATAGTCATAAACAGTGGAAGTGGCAATTTGAATGTCATATGCAATGTATTTTGGTTAAATGTATAGCTTAACAAAGTTAGGATGACTTAACCAGCAGATATAGTTTTAGATCATGTCCGATAAGAGCTGAAATTTGGTCAAGTTTAAAAGTCTCGGCGACCTTCCTCTATACATTGAAAGGTTGAATTTATGGCATTTTGTAGGTATGGAAATGGTTCGAATACCAAATTTTATTAAGATATCTTTTTCAGGGAAAGATGAATGGACGGACTAAAAGACAACCGGAAGGAC